TTATAAAGGCTGTTACAAATGTATACAGTAATGTCCCACACTATGCTTGTATGTGGCATTTATGGAATAACGTTCAGAAAAAGTTTAGAAAATCTCATGAGAAGTTATCTGGTGTATTCTATACAATGGCAAAAACTTGCACAAAGAATGAATTTGATATGTTAATGGATACTGTAGAAAAAGAAGATATAAGAGTGAAAGAGTATTTGGATTTAGTTGGATATGAAAAATGGGCTCTTTGTTATGCACAAGTACATAGAGGATGGCACATGACATCAAATATTGCTGAGAGTATAAATGCAACACTTGTTTCAGCGAGAGAACTGCCTATTTTTGAATTTCTCGAAGAGGTAAGGCTATTATTTGGAAGGTGGAATCATGACTACAAGGAGGAAACCTGCACATTCACATCATTGATAAATACCATGACATACTAGCAGTGAATGAAGCATTGAGCAGAAGAATGGCGGTAATATTTAAGAATAAGTATATATTTAGGAGTGTTGACCAAATTTAATTGTATATTATATATTAGTATGAACATCATTTCATTTAATTGTATTTATAAATTAACAAGTTGTACTGTCAACTAAATATGTGCACAATGTTAATGATGATGGGAGATATTTTGTAGTCTGTCTAAAAGAAAAAACTTGCACATGTGGAAGGTTTCAGTACGAGGAAATACCTTGTGAACATGCTTGGGCGGTATTGAAATGGAAGAGTCTACCACTAGATGAATATTGCTCAGATTTATACAAACCAAAGACAATGTTGAAGACATATAATATGCCCATACATCCTTTGCCGAATGTAAAAGCATGGTTGATTCCGGATAGCGTTATTGCTGATGATGTATTACCTACAAAATTTAAACGACCTTCTGGCAAGCCAAAGGGTAAGCCTCGGAAAAAAAACAGCAAGAGAGTTATCGAGGATTAAGGGGAAAAATACATGTAGCACATGTGGAATGACAGGTCACAATAGGCGTTCGTGTAGAAATAAGCCAAAAGATGTTTAAGGCTGATTGTTTTTTTCTAATTAAATTTGAATTGAAACTATATGCATTATGAATTAATTGAAATCTTTGTTTTTGTATACATATTACTTAAACTACGTCTTAATTTTGTTATGTGTTGTATTTTAATGTGTGTGTTGTATGACATACAAAAGTAAATATTATACTCAATAAGTTTTAGCATATACTATATACAATGATTAATTTGAACAACATATATAGTTGTTATACAAATACGTAAATTAAATTTGTATATATATACGCAACATGATAAAATATTCAACAATAAACAAGTAGAGATTATAAAAATAAAACTCTTTTATCCTATATACAAATAAAACCTGAACAACATATATTGAATATGCATATACAATTAATAAAAACAGTGAATAAGTGCTAGTATATACTATATACAATTAAAAACCTGAACAACATATATCTTTTGTTATACAAATTCGTAAATGCAATTGGTACATGTATATATTTATTCAATAAGATTGTATATGTATATTTATTGCAATATAATTGTTTGTGCATATACAATAAAATACATTGAATACGTGCTAGTATATACATTGAATACGTGCTAGTATATACTATATACAAAAGTAAATATTATACTCAATAAGTTTTAGCATATACTATATACAATGATTAATTTGAACAACATATATAGTTGTTATACAAATGCGTAAATTAAATTTGTATATATATACGCAACATGATAAAAT